CACTGCAATACAGTATATGTCCTAGACAAAGAGTTGGGTATAATTATAGTAATATGACGTTTATTCAGGACACTTGGTACATCAAGCAATGAAGTAACCCAGGCAACTATAAATGATGTGCAGGAATAACTCTGGCCCAAGTGTTGCAAGGTGTTCAGGTGTTTTGAATAGTGACAAATATTTTCAGCTTACTCAAACCAATGGATTTGATGAAGTTGATGACAACTAGATTGCATGAATGCCATGCACAGCCCTTACCAAATGAACTACTTATCAACAAGGAAAAATAGATGAGAAAACAAATGACGAAGACACAGAAGCCTCTAAACAATTATATGAGAAAAATAACAATTAGGCATTTAAACTTTATGGTTTCCTTTTGTCAGGAACAGGAAGCCTGTTAAGCTTATTAAGCTCCCCATTGCCAACACCTCACTTTTTCCCACTATGTGATCCACAACTGCTGCCTAACTCCCAGGTGAACAGCACATCAGGTGTAGGGAAACATGCCCAAATGTCTCCCCCACGTCCACGAATCAAACCCAGGACCAATCAGTGTGTGCCAGCAATGCATTGCAATTGCTGACGACGTTTGAATTAAGAGCCGGAAATTGTCTTGCTCACAAATAAGGAGATACACTAGGAGAGACAGACGGCTGTCCCGATGTGTCTGGATAAATTTTTCAAAAAAGAAGAAGACTACACTACAAAAGACAAAATGCCCCAGCAACAATCCCTACAAGGAGTCCCCTCTCAATCCCCAATAAAATGAAAGACTGTATTGCCTCTAACCCTTAAAATTCACTCCACACAAAGTCGCAGCACAACGACCACTCTCATCATTGCTATTTCTTGTAAGTGAAAATGTATTGTACTCTATGCTACCATAATTAATGGATTTTGGACAAAGAATACATCATCACATCAGAGTATTGACTCTGAAGGGAAAACAATTTTGCATTTACAGCAGAGCATTTTATAGCATTTTGATTTATGCCCAAATTTCCAAGAATGCATCTATGACGTACAGTATATACTGTATCAAGATACAGTATCTGAGCTGCTAAAGTCAATACAGTACTTTGTCAGCAGTACGGTATTTGTCTTTGTTACAGTTTCCTAGACAGTTTTCACTGACACAAAGTGAGGAAATGGATGTACAGTACAACATTGTTAAATAAGCTTTATGGGAGAAAACAGGTTAATATCAAGACAGGTTTCACAGCCAAAAGGTCGTGGGCTCAATTCCCACAGCAGGACAAAATTGTCCTTGTCCAGAAGCATCTGGACAAAATTTTTGTTCACCAGATACCTCTGTTTACCTAGCAGTTTAACAGGTACATGGGAGTTCAACAATTGTCGTGGGATGCATCCTGAGGTCCTTGGTAAGTTAACAGGCTTCCTGTCTCTGATTATGGGAATCAAACACACAGCCCTAAGTGCAAAGAAATTAATAAATACATAGGACAAAGTTAGCTTTATGCACAACATAGAAATTTTAGCAACATGTACAATATTAAGTTATAAATATTAATATAAAAGTGTCTTTGTTCATACTCGGGACCTAACTCCTAGAGTAGAAAAACTCACGAACTCCTCTTCAGGTATGCTCCAGGTAACCTTGCCAAATATGGCCTATCTTGAGATGATTTCGGGGCTTAGCATCCCCGTGGCCCGGTCCTCGACCCGACCTCCTTGTTGTTACACATCCTCAGGAAGCAGCCCGTAGCAGCCGTCTAAATCCGAGGAAAATCCCATCCCATTTACTGCTAGGTGAACAGGAGCATCAGGGTGAAAGAAACTCTGCCCATTTGCTTCCACCTCCGCCAGGATCGAACCCAGAATCTCGGGACTACGAATCCCGAGCGCTGTCCACTCAGCCATCAGTGGATTAAGCCTAGGTTAAGCCTAGGCTTAACTTGTTTTGAAACTTCACTTGTACAGTAGATTCTTGAATTTAATTTTGTACATAACTATTAAAAATAAAACATGTACTGTACAAAGCTTTTGGTTCAAGGAAAGACGATTCACCATGGTAAAATAGAATAAATATTATAATATAAAAATTGGAATAACCTAGTAGTGCCTCTAAATGGTTTACAGCCATTAAATAAACAACTGTACATTATTATTATACTGAAATTAAAACAAATTTAAACAGGACTTCATCTACATTTTTCTACAAATGGTACAGTAATTCCAGTACGTACTTAAAAGTGCCGATTAAAATACAACACTGGGATTGGTGGCTGTAAAAAATATTACTCATAATTATTAGCAAGGGATGATTACTGCATTACACTTTAATGGATAACACAAAAAATGACAAAAGTTATTGCTAACCTACATTACTGCCAGCCTACAAAGATTGGCAGATGCTTTTTAATGCTAAAAAATGTAGGGGTTCGAGGCTAAGTAATGAAGTCCCCAGATATATGCTTGATAAATGAAATTGAAATAAGTTTATTGAGGTAAAATACACACAAAGGGATGAGGTAGCTCAAGCTATTCTCACCCCGTTCAGTACAACGTGTTAGTACATACATAGACACACATCACAAAAAATGAATTGCTAAATCTGAATGTGAAAAAGATCTAGAGGTCATGATTAACATATCTTAAGCCAAAAATACCAATGCATAAATTTTTGAAATAGGAGTAAATGACTTGGATTTACTTCTAGATGCATTACCAATAAAACAACTGATGCTATTCCTCAGTTGTATCTTTCTCTTGTTAGAAAGAGAACAAGGTCATTTACATTATGAAAGGTCAATTCTGGTCACCATATTACAACATGGACATAAATTCACTTGGATGACAAGGCAAAATCCTAGAATGAAAAACCCTCCATATGAAAGGAGATTTAAAGAGCTAAAGTTACATTCTCTAGAAAGACAAAGAGTGAAGGGGTGAGATAACTAAAGTATAAAAATGGATAGACGGGTGTAACAAAGAGGATACTGTATTAACAAGTTATTAAATAAATCTACACAGAACACAAAGCAATGGATATAAATGGGATAAATTTCAATTCAGGAAAGATCTGGATAAATACCGACTTGGAAATAGGGTGGTAGATCTATGGAACAAATTACTGTACCAGGTAACATAATAGAAGTGGGATCACTTGATTGTTTGACGCGTAGGTTAGATAAACGCAATACATATTTGGCCAATTTATAAATAGCTGCTGCCACATATAGGACTTTAACCATTTTCATAATTTGTTTTATTACTGCTATTCTACGGCAGACAAATCTCTGCCCAAAATGCAAAATAAGCAAGCCCGTTTAACTGAACTTAAGGTTTATATGAGTTTTATTACAATTATTTTGAGGTTAGGTTTTGTAAGGATTTGGTTAGAAATCTTTAGAATATCCTTGGTAAGATTACTTTTGGGAGAGAATTAAATTATTTTGGAGTTTGCCAAATATATTTATAGGCAACATTACAGTTTTGAGAAAGGAAAGGAAAGAAAATACATTACTGTTCTTTAGAGTTAGGCAAGATTAATATATGAACTAGACAAAATTTTAATTACATTGGAATATTTCAATCAAGTTAGCTTTCAATGAGTTCAGTCAACATTGTTAATTATGCAAGATTCTTTCAGGTTAGAACAATTACAAAATATGAAGCGCAAAATTACAGTTTACAGACTGTGAACCCGTGACGAAGCAGCGTGCAAAATGCCAATACACAATACGATCTAACCCCAGTATCCACGCACTCACACAATGTACACCAATATTAACGCAGACAACCTGTGATGAAGCAAGAGTAGGTTCTAAGAACTATGAAAAACTTGAACCAGCACAATCAATGCTACTATTTTTTTTTAAACAAGCCCACTCCAATCTAAAATCAAAACCAAATGAAATAATAAATCAAATTTAGTTTTATATCGAACAAAATGAGCATGAGGCGTGTTAACATCCTAGTTTTAATATGGGCGCAGGTATTAGATGCTTCGGGTTTATTGGGACGGAGATTTTATAGTGCCGTACCAGTGGCCTTCCTCCATTATTGGAGACATGCTCCACAATGAGTCTACTCAAATAACGCAGTCACTCATGAAGCCCATTATTCTACATAATCCACACTTCTCTTGCTAAATAAGGGTTCATTATTTCCCAATATGGGGGGAAATTGATCAGGCAATTCTACAAATACACCTGAGAAAAGCAAGACATTCCTCAAGATGGTTCTATTTCCCACAATGTGTAAACTTCCTCCAGAAACCAGGAAGCAGCACCTAGAGGCCAAAGTATACTTCAGGCCTCGCCATAAGGCCTAATGCTGACCCCCTGATAATGAACTTTTTACTCGAATCATTGTTTTATGTATGAGCCTACCGAGTGTCTCGCACTGACCTGAGTATTCTCACTGGGGCCCCTCACAACGGGCCCAGTGCCTCAACCATCACGTGTATATCAGGGCCCCTCACAACGGGACCAGTGCCTCAACCATCACGTGTATATCAGGGCCCCTCACAACGGGACCAGTGCCTCAACCATCACGTGTATATCAGGGCCCCTCACAACGGGACCAGTGCCTCAACCATCACGTGTATATCAGGGCCCCTCACAACGGGACCTGTGCCTCAACCATCACGTGTATATCAGGGCCCCTCACAACGGGACCTGTGCCTCAACCATCACGTGTATATCAGGGCCCCTCACAACGGGACCTGTGCCTCAACCATCACGTGTATATCAGGGCCCCTCACAACGGGCCCAGTGCCTCAACCATCACGTGTATATCAGGGCCCCTAACCTGCCTCCGTGGACAAAGGATTTTACCCCACCAAAAAGAATAATCCTAAATCGAAAATATTGCCCTAGTGATGAGCCGAGGGGGTTGAGGGCCCCGAGGTGGGAGTTATGGAGGGGTCGAGGGAGACGAAAAACCCACAATTACTGCTATCTGAAGGGAAAACAAAAGCCCCCCCCAGTCCTGAGGCCCCAGGTGAGAGCCCCCGGGGGCGGGCGACTTACATCACTCTCGATGTCGATGTCTCTCTCCTCATCGCTCATCTTGGAAGGTCATTCCCGCCGGAGGGAGGCGCGCGGTCCACCCCTGCGGGATCAATATGGCGAGGCTACTGCTGCTGCTGGGATCCCAGGGAAGCGCCACGCACTAGTCTCCCTCACTCACACACACACACGCACACACACATACACATAGACACTCTCGCTCGCTGGTCCTCCCCGCCACTAGCGCTCGCTCGCTCCCGCTGACGCCACGCACCACTGACGTCACCCGCATGCTACGCGAACGCCGCCGCCGCTGCTCTCTCCGGCAGGACGACTCGCTCCGGCCCGCCTCACCCTCTCGGGACAACTCGCTCCAGCCAGCTTACCTCACCTCAGGACAACTCGTGCCAATTCTCATTTCATATCAGTTCGTATCACTTTAATGAATCACCATTTTGTTAATATATATGCAAAATATACACTATGTATATTTTATAATACACTATGTATTACATTATTTACACGTGTGGCACAGTGTTGGAACACATAGTTTTTTAAGACATACGCACAGCGTATCGCGCAAATTTCGAATTTCTAACCCACATTCTCTCTCATCATCTATTACTCTCTCATCTATCCTAATCTCAACTATGGTATTTGTGCTTGGGGTTCTACTACCCAAAATCATTTACGTCCTCTAATTACCCAACACAAAGCTGCTATTAGAACAATATCTAACTCTGGCCCCAGACATCACTCGGTACCCTTACTCAAATCTCTGAATATGTTAGATATTGTCACTGCACGTCCTCTCATGTGTACTCTATATATTTAAAACTCTGAATTGCAATGTCAATCCTGACCTTCAACGCTTCCTAGAAGGTTGTAACAGAACTCATGTGCACCACACCAGAAACAAATACCTATTTGATATTCCAAGAGTTAGACTTAATCAAACTAGGAATGCTCTACAAATCAAGGGACCCAGAATCTGGAATGACCTTCCCAATTATGTCAAAGATTGTACCTCTCTCAACCAGTTTCAGATATTTAACATATCTGAAAACTAAGTACTACCTAATTAACTCCATGTAACCTACCTTACTTCTAAATATCAACCCATGTCTTTTACAAAAAAAAAAAAATGCTGTTTGTTGACCAACTTGTATATTGGCAAACTTAGTTCATTAACCGCTGTAACGAGAGAGTCATTAGATTCTTGGAAAAATCTAAGAAAGGATTTTATACTTACAGCAGGTAACAGTGGTGATGTCACTTGCACAGGTATTACCAGAGAAGAACTAATAACGGCGATTAAAGTTGGGAAATCTACCGCCCATGGGGAGGATGGAGTAACTTATGAAATACTTAATGAACTTGCCATTATGACGAAAAGCCCATTGTTAGACCTCTTTAATATTAGTTATAAAGAGGGCAGTATTCCCAGTAAATGGAAAACAGCTATGATTATCCCTATCCCTAAAGCCAATGGAGAGTACAGACCTGTGTCTTTAACCTCGTGTTTTTGTAAAATGATGGAAAGGATCATTTTAAATAGACTTTTATATATAATAGGTGGTCAGCTGTCCAGTAATTTGTTCGGGTTCCTCAGAGGAAAAAGTACCTCTGATTGTATTATTAAATGTCTAGCTAATGAAAATGATTATTAAAGAATTTTTATTGATTTACAAGGAGCTTTTGATAAAGCCAACAAAGAGGTTATTTTATATGAATTAGCTGGTCTTGGTGTTAAAGGGAGATTATTGCGCTGGATAGGGATTATCTTTACGAAAGGAAGGCTCAGGTGTGGTATCAAGGTTGTATGTCAGGTGTGAGGTCTTTTGAACTCGGTACACCTCAGGGAGGAGTGTTGAGTCCCACTCTGTTTAATGTACTAATGAATAAGATAGCGTCTGAGAGATACTCAAATGGGGTAACTCCGATCATATATGCCGATGATATTTTGTTTCAGGGCAAAGATATTTCAAAGGTTCAAGCAGTGTTGGACAATTTCGGAAACCTGTGTCACCATATGGGACGGTGGTTAATGAAAACAAAACTAAGTTTGAATGTAAAAGTCGGAGGCCTATTATATTAAAAATAAACGGTAAAAATATAGAGAGAGTTAATATATATAAATATTTAGGCATATATGTTGGTTATACCCATGAGAGTTTGGAAGCTGAGATGAACAGACTGTTGAGTCAATGTCGGAAGAGATTACAACCTCTGAAGGCCTTGGCCTTGGCATGCTGTGGAAAGGGAGTGGGAGTCCCTGTGCTACGAATGATATACTTGAGTACTGTACTGTAAGATCTCTTATTGATTATGCTGCACCTGTCATTTCTTGTTTTGGTAAAGGTAGGATGGGCAAGTTGGAGAAGGTACAAAATGAAGCCATATCTTGAGATGATTTCGGGGCTTTAGTGTCCACGCGGCCCGGTCCTCGACCAGGCCTTCACCCTCAGGAAGCAGCCCGTGACAGCTGATTAACACCCAGGTACCTATTTTACTGCTAGGTAACAGGGGGATAGGGTGAAAGAAACTCTGCCCATTGTTTCTCGCCGGCGCCTGGGATCGAACCCAGGACCACAGGATCACTAGTGCAGCGTGCTGTCCGCTCGGCCGACCGGCTCCCTATAAAGCCATGATAATTATCTTAGGATGCCCAAGAAATGTTATGATTAAGATAATGAGGATGGAGTTGAATCTGCAGAGTATTGGGGATAGAATTGTAGAGATAAATGTAGCCTCTGCCATTAGATTAATGAGAGGTGGGAGAGCTAATGAATTAATCCTCTCGGTTCAAAAGGTGGGAAGTAGTGAACAGTGTATGATGAAGAAGAGAGTATATATGAATACCTTATGTTCTAATGTTATTAAGTATGATGTTATTACAGAGTGTATTGCTGTGCCCAAGAGACAATTCACACCACCATGGGAGGATTGTAATGTAGATGTAGTAATTACTCCCTTGCATAAGAAAAAAGTATGTATGAAATAGGAGAGCTGAGGGCAACATATGATTGTATAATTAGAAAACTGCCTACGGAAAACACTCTACATGTATATTGTGATGGGTCAGTAGCTAGGGATGGGAAGGCAGGATGTGGAGTCTTGATCAGTGAGTACACTGACATCGGCACTGTAGATACTGTTATTGGACGCCGCTTAACTGACAATGTCTCTTCAACGCAGGCTGAACTCCAAGGTGTATTAGCAGGATTACAGGAAGTAGTCAAATGTGGTAAAAATGCTTGCTTCTTTATTGACAGCAGAGGAGCGTTAGAGTCTTTAAATAGCAGACGCCCAGTATACCAGAATATTGTGATAGAGTGTAGAGAGAATGTTAAGAAATTAGAAAAAACTGGGTATAAAGTAAGATTCATGTGAATCCCTTCACATGTGGGAATACTGTTGAATGAGGTAGTTGATAACATAGCGAAGAGAGCCACGGAAAAAACTCTTGTTGATATTGTATGTCAGTTAACCTTGAAACAAATAAAAACAAGAATCAAGATGGTCCAAGAGGGTGAAGAAATAGAGAATGGCAATGGTGGACAGTAGTAACACACTTAAGAATTATTCAATAATAAATACAAATTCGTCCATCACCTATAGTAAAGGAAAGTCTACTTGGAAGGATTCAATTTACATGAGATTAAGATTAGGATACAAATATGTCTGGCAATACGGTGTTGAACTCAATAATCTGCCTAATGTCTCTAATATTCTTAAACCTATATTGTTTGCTGATGATACTACCCTCATCTATTCAGACCCCAACCCACATACACTAAATAATGTTGTGAATAATGAATTAAAAAAAGTCCACTTATGAATGTCAACTAACAAACTAGCATTAAACATAGAAAAGACCTACTACATCTTATTTGGAAGCAAATCATCGAATGCAATTCAGCTACAGATAGACAACATTAACATCAGTAATAAAAATGATGGCAAGTTTCTTGGCCTATTCCTGGACAAGAGACTCAACTTCAGCACCCACATTCAACACATAACTAAGAAAGTCTCTAAAACAGTTGGTATACTCTCCAAAATCAGATATTATGTTCCTAACTCTGCTCTCCTCTCACTATATTATGCACTAATCTACCCCTATCTTAATTATGGTATCTGTGCATGGGGGTCTACCACTGCAAACCACCTTAAGCCCATCATCACCCACCAAAAATCTGCTATCAGAATAATAACAAACTCTGCTTTCAGACAACACTCAGCTCCCTTGTTTAAATCCCTAAACTTGCTAAATATTAACTCCCTCCACACATTCTCTTGTGTCAACTACTTTTACAAAACCCTGTTCTTAAATGCAAACCATGCTCTGAAACTCTCCCTGGACAGATGTAATAGGACCCATTATCACCACACCAGAAATAAATATATCTTTGATATCCCCAGGGTCAAGCTTAATCTGTGCAAACACTCTATGCAAATTAAGGGACCCAGTCTATGGAACTCACTCCCTAGTGAATTGAAAAACTGTAAAACTTTTGCCTCATTTAAAAACAAAAACAAAAAGTACCTAATTTCATCTTCATAGTTTCCTACACTGAGCTTTAAACTTGCTCTGTATCTAGTGTTACCCAATCTCCCAATCTTTATGTACTTAACCCAAACAACTTTATCATTGTGTTCATTGCCGTCATCTTTTATGTGCTAGCCACATGCTGTATTGTGCCTGCTAAGTTTTGTTAAACTACCATTCAAGCTGTCATTGCCATCATACTGAGCCACCTTTGTGCTTAATATACCTACAATTTTCTCTCATCTTGTATTTTTTCATGCTATGTAACTGTTATCATTTTTATAGCATAGTAATTACATAGTAAATACATTATAGCATAGTAATTTCATTAAATTACGTTATTAATAAAGCCACTATATTATAATGTAAGCCATTATGTAAGGCTTTACAAGAATGTAATTACTATGCTATGTATCTTCACAATCCCAATGTACCTTCTTGTATATATATAAATAAAATAAAATGAAATAAAATAATTACCTTACCCCTAAATGTCAACCCATGTCTACGATTTTAAACAATGCTGTTTGTTGACCAAATTGTATTTTTGATTTTTTCTGCCATGTTTCCCCTCCCTCTTTTCAATTTTTTTCTTGTATTTTCATAACACAATTTATACTTTAATCTCAATTAGTATTAAGTTTTAGTCTTAGTGTTTTTCCTGCCCGAAACGCTTAGCGTAATAGTGGCTTTAGGCTTTGTATGTACTAACTCTATCTATAAATCCATCAACTTTTGTATTTCACCTTATATGTATGTACTTTACCTGAATAAATATTTGTATTTGTATTTGTATTTGAATGAACTTCAGTTATAGTTAAATATGTCATAGGAGTGCATTTTCCGTCCGTACGCTCTGCCTTCCATATTAATTTTGATTTACGAGATTGTGTAATGTTAAAGTAACGCTTCACGGGCCTGATTGTACATATTATGGTCACCTTTCATGGTCCTGATTGTACATATGTTACGGTCACTATGGCCCTGATGTTACATATATGTTCAGGTCATCCTTCATGGCTTGAATACTACATATATTAATGTCACCTCTAAGGCCCTGATTGTACATATACTAGGGGTCACCTTTCATGGTCCTGATTGTACATTCATTAATTTTTACGGATTGTGCATTAAAATAAGTTTATCATATATAAAGTAACATTAATTATATGTTAAAAGTTATATGTATTGTTAGGCGCGTAGGTTAGGTGTTTAGACACAGTTTAGTGTGTATATATCACGTATCTCTACCCAGCTGTTCCCTCCACCCACCTGCTGGGATGGACCAGCTGTTCCCTCCACCCAGCTGTTCCCCCTCCACCCAGCTGCTGGGATGGACCAGCTGTTCCCCCCTCCACCCAGCTGCTGGGATGGACCAGCTGTTCCCTCCACCCAGCTGCTGGGATGGACCAGCTGTTTCCTCCACCCAGCTGCTGGGAAGGACCAGCTGTTCCCTCCACCCAGCTGCTGGGATGGACCAGCTGTTCCCTCCACCCAGCTGCTGGGATGGCCCAGCTGTTCCCTCCACCCAGCTGCTGGGATGGACCAGCTGTTTCCTCCACCCAGCTGCTGGGATGGACCAGTTGTTCTCCCTCCACCCAGCTGCTGGGATGGACCAGCTGTTCCCTCCACCCAGCTGCTGGGATGGACCAGCTGTTTCCTCCACCCAGCTGCTGGGATGCACCAGTTATTCTCCCTCCACCCAGCTGCTGGGATGGACCAGCTGTTCCCTCCACCCAGCTGCTGGGATGGACCAGCTGTTCCCTCCACCCAGCTGCTGGGATGGACCAGCTGTTCCCTCCACCCCGAGAATTAGTGTACACACCGCATATGGTGAGCATATTACATTATTTTGTTTATTATAATTATCTATTATATTATCTTCTAGTGTCTTCTGTTGGTTATTATTAATTAATTTTTTTACCTTGTTGGTCAATTTTCTGTTGAAGAGCATGTGTGAATTGTCCACATTATGTCATCTTCCTACATCCATATTATGGCAACTATTATTTCATGCAAGCTACCTCATCCCTTTGTGTGTATTTTACCTCAATAAACTTATTTCAATTTCATGCATATTTTCTAGATTTATGCGCAACAAAATTTAGTTTTGAGTTGTGGTGTCTGTTAAATTCGCCATTGTGAGGCTTCCTATAACTGCCATACGTTCTGTATATTAGAAATACAAAAAACAATTTCTAGGCATTATTTAGTATTTTTGGGACTATGATGGGAGTATCGCCATATCCAAAAGTATAGTAATAATTTTTTTGGGATATATAATTTTTTATTATAAGTCTTTATACATATTCGTAATGGCTTGGCACGTTTTCTTGATAGTTTCCTTCCCTTGTATACATTTGTGAATCAAGTTTTTGTTTTAATGATAATTTTGAATTTTCAGCGTTACGGAGGTGGGAGAGGAGATCTTCCTTTGTATCTCCTCTCTCACCCAATTGACGTACCTCACAGGTATGGCAACTACAGTGATATATGCGAACAACCTTGAATGGTCCCCAAGCATATAGTAGTAGGCATCCTTCAGTCTCTGCAGACTATGGAGTTGTGCTCTGGTTGCTCTCCAGGGCGCAAAGCCTGGGTAGGTCGATATGGAGGAGAAGCTGTTACCCATGCAGCAGGTCTTCTCCACGGTGCTGAAATTATCCAATGGAAAGGCAAATGCCAATACACATAGTTCCAGCACCGTCGCAGGAGCTGCCAGAGTGAGGTCGAAATCGACAATGAACTGCCTTAAGGGCTCCAACTCGGGATTTTTCCTCGAGGTTGATTCCTGAAGCCTTTCCCAAAATAGGGGTATGGCCACAATTAAGGCAGCGGAGGTTTAGAATCAGGGTTTTCCTTCCCCTAGATGAGCTGCCTTCCCTATCTAACGAGTCCCATCTACCCGGAGTCCCTAAGCATATATGCAACTGAAAACTCCACACCCTAGAAGTGACTCGAACCTGGACCGCCGGGTTCGTGTACTGGTGTACACGGTGCCTTAAACCACTCGACCATCAGTGACCGTGTAAGGCATGGTCACTGATGGTAAGGTAAGGTAAAGACCACGGTAAGGCACCGTGAACACCAGTTGCAATGTGCTCCTGGAGGTCCGGGTTCGAGTCACTTCTGGGGTGTGGAGTTTTCAGTTGCATATATGCTTGGGGACCATTCAAGCTTGTTCGCATTTGTGTTCCTCACGTGTGCCCCACAAAATGAGGTGATTTGATGAAATGGCTATGTCCAAGATTACCATCAAAGTGCCGTCGGGGTGGTGGTTCGAATTGCCTCGCCTATCAATGCCTTTTATAGTCAGTGATGGTCGAGTGGTTTAAGGCACCGTGTACACCAGTTGCAATGTGCTCCTGGCGGTCCGGGTTCGAGTCACTTCTGGGGTGTGGAGTTTTCAGTTATGAAAACTCCTTCTGAAGATGTATTAATATACGAAAGTACTTAATGAAATTCCTGTTTCAATTTTCCTCCGTGGTCTGACACTGTCATATCTATATAAATAAAAATGGAAATGTTCGTTTGTTCAAAATCGCTAATCTCCGAAAGGTCTTCACCGATTGCTTTGAAATTTTCACACAACGTTCCATTCGCATCCGGCCAGGTTTTTATATACATACTATATAGATGTCACGTCTGTGACGGTAAAAAAAACATGCTTTTTCTGAAAAACTGTGTTTTTCATGTGAGGGAAATCTTCGAAACCTCTTTACCGATTGCTTTGAAATTTTGACACAACGTTGCATTCGAATAGGCGCATCTTTTTATATACCTACTATATAGATGCCACCCCTGTGACAGGTAAAAACATGCGTTTTTGAGAAACTCCGCTATCTGTTGCACATAATGGCAACATACACGCTATACTGAATATGTCACCAATTCCATTTCAATGTTTCCGATTGCATTGATAAATTTATTTTCATAGATTTCGATTTATTTTATTTTTTATTTAATCATTTTGTTTGACATTGTGTTGGAATTGAGCTGTGTTGTTTACCATACCGTTCATTTCGTAAGAATAAATATAGATGCCACACCTGTGACATGTAAAACTAAGCTTTTCTTGAAAAACAGCGCCATCTGTTGCATGTAAGAGCAACACACATGCTATACTAAATATGTTACAATTCCATTTCAGTGTTTCCGATTGCATTGATAAATTGAATTTTCATGAATTTTTATTTATTTTCATTTTGATTTAATTATTTTGTGTGAATTGCGTTGGAATTGAGCTGTGTTGTTTACCATACTGTTCATTTTGTGAGTATAGTTATTTTTTTTTATTTTTTCATATTTTCATTTATTTTTTAACTGTTTTTCTTATATTTCAGTGATAGGAACATCAGACCATTAAGGAAGGCATCGGACGAGGGAGTGGGGAATGGTGGGGAGGACGAGGGGACGGGGGGAGTTTGGGATGGTGGGGACGAGGGGATGGGGGAATGGAGAATGGTGGGGAGGCCGAGGAGACGGATGAGGGGGTAATGGTAGGGAAGACTGGAGGACAGGAAAGGTTGCTGTGGTTCATATATATATATATATATATATATATATATATATATATATATATATATATATATATATATATATATATATATAAATTTAGAATATATTAAACAGTATAATTATAAGTCATATTGTTTTTTTATTTAAAATATGACTACAATATAAAGATACTGAAAAAAATAGCATATATATATAAAATGTCAAGTAGAGAGCAGAAGAGAATATATTTATTGTTCAACACAATACAATATTTATACTCAATTTAACAAATCCACCAGGGCCGTGATGAGGGGTGTGTATTGAAGTGAGGGCGAAGAGGTGGAACAGCTTGTTGGCAGAGCCAGAGTGCACGGGGGGAATTGTGTAAAACCCCGGGTTTGTGTCTCGGAGAGGCTGCAGGATCTGTGTGAAGTCAGTGGAATTCCCGGTTGCAATTCTTTTGACCATGCCGTGGCCTAGTCGACTAAGGCAGCGCCTGGGATCATCCCGGGCGTAAGTTTGAACCGTCATCACGGCCCTTGTGGATTTGTTCATTTGATGCATCATGCTATTGTGATTTCTGTGTGTATACACAATTCAGTTTGAGAAATCTTCTACTTATAGTAGGCACGACATCTATAAATCTCTTTAAAAGCAAACTATTAACATTGAGCATATCTTTACATAGATCTTAAAAAAGGAAAAAAAATCCTAGTAAGCGTTGCATGTTCTATTTTTTCCTTGCTCTCATGTAGAGGCCAATGAAGCCGAGCACATGGAAGCTGACGTAGAGGAGCGTCAGGAGGCCAAAGTCGTAGGAGAGGTGGGTGGAGTCGAACGAGTATTCTTGAATGACCTGTTGACCCGTGCTGATACAGGGCACTCCTGGGGGCATCTCGCACGCTGTCAGGGCACACAATGGCTCTATTATATACCTGTGTTATTGAAACTAACAGAGACGGATATTATATATATAAATACACCAGGAGGTACACTCCATTTCTCGGTGTCTACAAAGTACTCTTAAAGTGGTACTTCAAACACCGTTACACCGTCACACCGTCTTACCGTTACCTACTTCCTGTTGCTCCCCGGGAAACGCTTGCAACAGAAGCAACACACACACACACACACAAAAGTTAATGAAATTTTCCTAAACAAAAATAGCTATACAGAGCAAATTGCTGTCTAATAGACACCTTTTTTTTTGGTATACAAAAAAGAAATTGCGGGCAAGGAAAACTTACTTATATTTTTGATGTCGGACCATTGGGTGATGGTGAGAGCCTCGTTGCTGTACATGAACCAGGAGATGTATCTCACCCACCCGATGAACCAAGGCATTGATCTGAGGACAGAAAACATGGCACATGTGGATCATGTTGCACAGGTATGTGGGACAAGGTGGCCACATTGCTCCAGTGACCGTGATGTTGCACAGGTATGTGGGACAAGGTGGCCACATTGCTCCATTGACCGTGATGTTGCACAGGTATGTGGGACAAGGTGGCCACATTGCTCCACTGACCGTGATGTTGCACAGGTATGTGGGACAAGGTGGCCACATTGCTCCATTGACCGTGATGTTGCACAAGTATGTGGGACAAGGTGGCCACATTGCTCCACTGACCATGATGTTGCACAGGTATGTGGGACAAGGTGGCCACATTGCTCCACTGACTGATCCAGCGTGTGTTTTCAGCAGACACCCATGCTAACGGAATAGGAAATCGGTCAGCAAAGTGGTTAAAATTATGAGGCTACCAACTCGTAAATAATGAGATGGATCCCAATTCTCGGTATATATCTATATATATGTACAGAGAGTTTATCTTAGTCCTAGACTATGTACAGGACTAAAGTATACATGCTGGTTGGTAAGTTGTTGTGGCGACCTTCATAACCCATTAGACATTGACAGACCTGAAACCCAAGTCCAAACCAGTCGTAGAATCATTACACAACCTATCATTGCCTCGAGAAGTGTATTACAACGTAACATTCTTAACCTGCAGTCAAGAAATGGCAGGTTAATGTTGTTGATGAAGACTCTTGATACTTACGAGAGATTGATGAAGAGACCTCCGGAGATGAGGAGAACCACATCAAAGGGTATGAGGAACAACATGATGTAGGGGATGCTCTCAAACATGGCGGAGAACATCGAACCTGCGGGAGAGGGGAGTAATCAGAACTAGCTTTCAGTTTACAAATGATAAATAACAGCGATCTTAAAGTAATAAAGCTAACAGCGATCTTAAAGTAATAAAGCTTAAGCAAGCGTTGATTGATGATTGCATGCTACAATATTCTTTATAGAATTGAAGTAGACAAATTGAACATATCAATTTTGAATGAAGAAATAGCCTCATTACCAAAGCCAAAATAGCAAATATTATGATTGAGAGGATAATACAAAAATAAATATATGTATATACCACAGGCTGAGGCAGTGTTGGCTGTGAAGATGGTGACGAGGATTGTCATGAAGAAGTGGTAGGCGTGTCGCTGGAGGCCCACCATCCAATAGCAGATGAGGCAGAACACCACCGGGTCCACGATGAAGCCAGGGATCTGACACACACACACACACATAAGCGCTTTAACACAACTACCTATATTACTGGTATACGAGTTCTTGTTTAAGTACACAGATACACGTACATTTCTTGTTCATGTATGAGGATACAACTGTAGTCCTTGTTCATGTATGGGGATACAACTGTAGTCCTTCTTCATGTATGGGGGATACAACTGTAGTCCTTGTTCATGTATGGGGGATACAACTGTAGTCCTTGTTCATGTATGGGGGATACAACTGTAGTCCTTGTTCATGTAGGGGGGATACAACTGTAGTCCTTGTTCATGTATGAGGATACAACTGTAGTCCTTGTTCATGTATGAGGATACAACTGTAGTCCTTGTTCATGTATGAGGATACAACTGTAGTCCTTGTTCATGTATGGGGATACAACTGTAGTCCTTCTTCATGTATGGGGGATACAACTGTAGTCCTTGTTCATGTATGGGGGATACAACTGTAGTCCTTCTTCATGTATGAGGATACAACTGTAGTCCTTGTTCATGTATGGGGGATACAACTGTAGTCCTTGTTCATGTATTGGGATACAACTCAACTATGGTATTACGAAATGTTCCTAACCCCTACGAACGTAACCATGGTTCTCCGAAATATTCTCAAATCTACGAACTCGACCATGGTAGTATGAAAGATTTCTAACAACTACGAACTCTATCATGGTAGTACGAATAATTCCTTACATCTACGAACTCGATCATGGCAGTACGAAATATTTCTAACATTGCGAACTCATCCATGGTAGTACAAACGATTCCTAACATCTACGAGCTAGACCATGATAGTACAAAAGATCCCTAACTCTTATGAACTCGAGCAATTTAGTACAACATATTCCTAAGCCCTACAATATCAACCATGGTAATAAAATGGACTCCTGGATAGACGTGAGAAAAAACACCTTTAAACACATTAAATAAACAAAACAAACGGGGCAAACTTGTAAACAAAACAAAAATAAGATATATAAAAACAGAGATGAGACATAGATTGTCTCATGAGGCTATGCCTCATAGCCCCCCTCATAGGGGGGCTATGAGGCATTCCCTTTTTCTGCTACTTCTTACAAGGCCGATCATCTTGGAGAGATAGTAAGTATCAGCCCGGTATATGCCGTTCTTGTACTCCCGGAGGAAGAGAGGCATCTCGTGCGGGAAGATGTTGAGGACGCCGTAGAGGGAAGGGAAGGTGTTCTCGGTGATGAAGATGAAGAGCACACCTTCGATGTCCTGGATGCCAGCCTGGTTGAGTTTGACGTTCGTGTAGCAAATTCCCACCAGGAATGCAATCAGCTGTAAGTGAGATCAACGAATATTACTCAATATTTACAACAAAAATGAGCCTAAACCAAAAAGCATTAAGTTAGTGTGATTATATAACACTTGGAAGGGATGTCATAATCTTCAGCTAGACCATCTGTCCCACTCTACACCAAAATAACACAAATAACATAAACCAGAACGGTCAGCGGTGACCATTTCAGTACTCACAATCTTCTGGAGTATCCTGATGGAGTGGATGGCTGGGTTCCTATAGGAGTCGACGAGAGAGCGCCAGGTGAGCCACCACAGCTGCACCAGCCAGCCAGGCTTCTGTCTGTGACGGGAACACAGAGGGAAAGACAGTGATAACCCACCACAGAGTACAGGAGGCAGTGATAACCCACCACAGAGTACAGGAAAGACAGTGATAACCCACCACAGAGTACAGGAGACAGTGATAACCCACCACAGAGTACAGGAAAGACAGTGATAACCCACCACAGAGTACAGGAAAGACAGTGATAACCCACCACAGAGTACAGGAAAGACAGTGATAACCCACCACAGAGTACAGGAGACAGTGATAACCCACCACAGAGTACAGGAGACAGTGATAACCCACCACAGAGTACACGGGCGGATGGCGGCTTGGCCCTCTCCTCTTTCTCAAATGGAACTCTTAAAGTGACGATGTTTACGTCATAATTGGAGCAAAAGTGTCTATAAAAAACTTTTTATTCAGAAACAGAATAAAAGTGTTTATTCAGTTCCCTTATAAATTTATCTTCAGCAATGCTATACTATATAGATTATAGAGGATTAGTCTTTTCAGGATTATTCAAGAGAAAACCACTAATGGCACGGCCTCTACTGCATCAGGCTTCATCCCAAACCTGATGCTTCAGGCTTCACGGCCTCTACTGCATCAGGCTTCATCCCAAGCCTGATGCTTCAGGCTTCACGGCCTCTACTGCATCAGGCTTCATCCCAAGCCTGATGCTTCAGGCTTCACGGCCTCTACTGCATCAGGCTTCATCCCAAGCCTGATGCTTCAGGCTTCACGGCCTCTACAGCATCAGGCTTCATCCCAAGCCTGATGCTTCAGGCTTCACGGCCTCTACTGCATCAGGCTTCATCCCAAGCCTGATGCTTCAGGCTTCACGGCCTCTACTGCATCAGGCTTCATCCCAAGCCTGATGCTTCAGGCTTCACGGCCTCTACTGCATCAGGCTTCATCCCAAGCCTGATGCTTCAGGCTTCACGGCCTCTACTGCATCAGGCTTCATCCCAAGCCTGATGCTTTAGGCTTCACGGCCTCTACCCAGGCTTCATTGCTAATAATATTAAGATGTAATATGTAAGAACAGTGCCTAATATACTGCTCAAATTAAAAAAAATGCTCAATACATTCACAAGATTATTATTTGGTGCATTGCTTTACTTGTTAAGAAGGAGATAGTACCCGGTTGTAAAGCTTACGAAAACATTTATTTAACTTACGGAATGTTTCTAAAGAAGGCGTCATCTTGGTACTGCAAGGAGAAGGATACCATTAGAGAACTTACAAGATGTGTAATGTAGTTATTAGGAGCTAAGACATTATTGTTTCTTAATTGGTGGATAAGGCCAGTTATACATAAGATTACAAAAATAAAGGCAGCTACATTTTGCAGTAATAAGTAATATTGCTTTCATAAATATTATGCTGCTATATCTACTACTCTGGGTGCTAATAATAGCCTAGTTGATAAAGTCCGGTTTTCAGAACAGGTTGGTAGTAAGTACTCGAGACGACTGGCGATTAGAAAGGCGGGGTCCAGGAGCTAACACACCTCGATCCTATACTCACAAATAGTAAACACACGCCGGCACACAAGTATACTAATACACACGCAAACACACACTAACAAACAACGCTGACAAAACCAAAACTATATATATATATATATATATATATATATATATATATATATATATATATATATATATATATATATATATATATATATATATTAGGTACAATATTTATATGTTGTATCTAATAGCCAGAACGCACTACTTGGGCTAGTATGCAAGGCCCGATTTGATGACAAGCCGAGTTTTCCTGGAATTATATATTTTCATATTTTTTTCTTTTGGAATGATAAAGCTTTTCATTATATTATATATGAATTTATTTGTTTTAAATTGAAGTTAAAACTAACGTAGAAATATGACCAAACCAAACCTACCCTATCCTAACCTAATCAAACATGTCAGTAATTCATGTTCTTAATATAATGTAATAATATTAATTCAAATAAACCAATTTGATTTGTTTTTTAAAAATAATGAAAATTACTGTGCCTGTTAGGCAAATCGGGTCTTGCATATTAGTCCGAATAGCGAGTTATATAGTGCTGGGGAATAGGCTGCCTATCCCGACACAATGATTTAAATTACGAGGGAGGGGGGTAGAAATTGCCTAAGCTACTCTATCCCTTTGAAACGTATTTTATTGTCTCAATAAACGTACCTGAACGTAAGCTAAGAAAAGTCACATACAACTACCCTCCCCTCCCCTCTCCCATTTCCAGTCAAACAAATCAAATGGTTATTCAGGTAAAAGTATACACATACAAGATGAGTTACAACCATAATGTTGGATCTTACACTGCCGCCAGAGTCCGACTGGGAGATGTTCATGTTGTCCTGGTACTGTATGGTGATGTCAATGTCCTTACAGTAAGCCGACACCGCGAAGTTGTCGCAGATCCGCTTGATGCGTTCCCTGGAGCGGTGCTCGTGGCCCGGGAGCACGGCCAGGGTGTGGATGTAGTAGTCGGCGGGGTTGAAGGTGGCAGGGCACCTGTGGCCCAGACTGAACACAACCAGGGGTGTGAAACATGGATTAAGACTGAACACATAGTGTGTGTGAAACATGGATTAAGACTGAACACAAAGTGTGTGTGAAACATGGATATTAGAGTTAACTACATTCCATAAATTATTGTGATCAGTGCAGTTCGTCCTAAAATGATAGTGTTTATAAGCAACTGTTTGATCAAACGTACACAAAAGTAGACACCTTTTTGTTGGAGTTTCTCCCCAAAAGTTAAAGTTTTCTATGAATTACCTCACATGGCATACTAAGAAAATGTAAATGTAACTAAAGCAAGTAACCTAGGCCTAAAATACGTTCTCTTACGCCTAATATACGCCATCTTAGGCCTAATAAAGTACACATATATGCGCTATATAAGGTCTAGAAGTGTTTAAATTTGGGCTTTGGCTTATTTTTGTAATGCTCTCTACACAATTGCAGCAAACGTCAAATTTCGTCAATTTTTGGGGGTTCAACAATCCATTTTTGAACGAAATACTTTGTTATAAGCAAACAAACAATGTTATAAGTTTGTTTAGGAGAATGGGTTGTAATCGAGGTACTTAGCTACTCTCAAGTTATGATTAATGATACACTTAACTATACTCAATTAAGTTATGATTAATGACACACTTAACTATACTCAATTAAGTTATGATTAATGAGACACTTAACTGTTCTCAATTAAATTATGATTAATGAGACACACTTAACTATATTCAACTCCTCGGTGTATGTACACTGATAGAAACAATAGCTTACGTTTGAAACAATCTATCCATCCTTATTCTATTATTACCCGGTAATTTGTTCCACGAATCGAGAATTCTATTTCAAAATCAGTATTTACCGAGATCTATCCACCTTAACAACCGTTCAGAGGTTGACAGGCCTAGCTCAAGCCTCTGGCCCCGAAGCCACTGCTCCTCACCTGTCAAGGAACTCGAGGGCGCCTGAGGAAGACCCCATGTAGGCGACGCGACCCTCCGCCAGCAGGAGGAGCTTGTCGAACATGGCGAAGACCTCCGAGGAGGGCTGGTGGATGGTGCAGAGGATGGTCTTGCCGCGGGTGGCCATGTCCTTCATGATCCTCACCAGCTTCCTGGCGTTGTACGAGTCCAGCCCCGTGGTGGGCTCGTCGCAGAACAGCAGCGGCGGGTCCGTCAGGATCTGAAGCATTACACATACACCCACAGGCTACAGCTCATCCTCCAAACTGACAGTACGTTTTAATACTAAGTGTAATAAGTACATTTACTGACTGTCATACATAGTACATAATTGCACTTATGGGGCTGTTACATTTACCTCCCCGTTTTTGGAGTTGGCAATGGCAGTGAAAACCTAGAATACAGAGAGAAAACGGAGCTAAAGTAGAAAACGGAACTAAAGCAGAAAACAGAGAAAACGGAGTTAAATCAGAAAACAGAGAAAACGGAGCTAAAGCAGAAAACAGAGAGAAAACGGAGCTAAAGTAGAAAACAGAGAAAACGGAACTAAAGCAGAAAACAGAGAAAACGGAGCTAAAGCAGAAAACAGAGAGAAAACGGAGCTAAAGCAGAAAACAGAGAAAACGGAACTAAAGCAGAAAACAGAGAAAACGGAGCTAAAGCAGAAAACAGAGAAAACGGAGCTAAAGCAGAAAACAGAGAAAACGGAGCTAAAGCAGAAAACAGAGAGAAAACGGAGCTAAAGCAGAAAACAGAGAAAACGGAGCTAAAGCAGAAAACAGAGAGAAAACGGAGCTAAAGCAGAAACTGAGAAAACGGAACTAAAGCAGAAAACAGAGAAAACGGAGCTAAAGCAGAAAACAGAGCTAAAGCAGAAAACAGAACTAAAGCAGAAAACAGAGAAAACGGAGCTAAAGCAGAAAACAGAGAAAACGGAACTAAAGCAGAAAACAGAGAAAACGGAGCTAAAGCAGAAAACAGAGAAAACGGAGCTAAAGCAGAAAACAGAGAAAACGGAGCTAAAGCAGAAAACAGAGAGAAAACGGAGGTAACGCAGAAAACAGAGAAAACGGAGCTAACGCAGAAAACAGAGAAAACGGAGAGGAGGCGGGAAGCGTTACCTCTGTGGCGAAGGCTAGTCTCTTGCGCTCTCCACCAGAGAGGGACTTGTCGTGGCCGGGGACGCCTATACGGGTGTTCTGGGACTTGAGCAGCCCCAGCTCCATCATGAGCTCCATTACCCGCGCCAGCCGCTGCTTGTTGGTCCGCCGCTTGTCCATCCTCAGCCGCGTCTGCCCGTACAGCCATATTTTAGTGCTGGGGTCGGTTAATTAGGTCTCTCTCTCTCTCATACACATACTGGTGGCCGAAACGTGCATATCTTGGCCAAAACTTGCATCACACGAAGCAAGATTTGCATCACACGAGGAGAAACTTGCATTATACTAGGCAAACTTAGTTCAACTACAAAAATAAAACTACGTGACGTCACCTCACCCCTCCCAAGGCTTCGTGAAAAAACAGAACAAAAGATTTTTGGGAGAGTTGTTGCTGTTGTTATAGATTCAGCTACTGGGAACAGAAAGTCCCACGTAGTACGGGCTATGGTGAGCCCGTAGTGGACTTTCCCTTCCCAATCATGTCAAAGATTGTACCTCTCTCAACCAGTTTAAGATGAAAACTAAGTATTACCTAATTAACTCCATGTAACCTACCTTACTTCTAAATGTCAACCCATGTCTTACTATTAAAAAAAAAAAATGCTGTTTGTTGACCAACTTGTATATTGGTTATTTTCTACCATGTTCCCCCCTTTTTTTACCTTTTACTTTTTTTCTTTCAACGCAATTTATACGTTGTTCAATTATTATTAAGTTTCAGTCTAAGTGTTTTTTCCCCCACCTCCCCTTGCCCGAAACACTATGCGTACTAGTGGCTTTAGGTATTGTATGTACTACCTCTTTCTTTAAATCAAACAGAATGTTTGTACTGTAACGCTGCAACTATGTATGTACTGTTCCTAAATAAATTATTATTATTATTATTATTATTATTATTATTATTATTATTATTATTATTATTATTATTATTATTATTATTATTATCATTATCATTATCATTATTATTATTATTATTATTATTATTATTATTATTATTATTATTATTATTATTATTATTATTATTACTTACCTGGCACAGGAGCAGTGCTGTGATTGGGCGAGAAGAGAGCCCCTCTATATAGCCGTCTTGATGACCCCTTACCATGAAGGTGAGGTGCTCCTTGACCCCTTACCATGAAGGTGAGGTGCTCCTTGACCCCTTACCATGAAGGTGAGGTGCTCCTTGACCCCTTACCATGAAGGTGAGATGCTCCTTGACCCCTTACCATGAAGGTGAGATGCTCCTTGACCCCTTACCATGAAGGTGAGGTGCTCCTTGACCCCTTACCATGAAGGTGAGGTGCTCCTTGACGGTGAGTGAGCCCACGAAGAGGTCATCCTGGTGGACATAGCCGGCCAGGGAGGTCATGGAGCGCGTCACCCGACGGCTGTTGACCAGGATGTCGCCGTCGACGATGACGCCGCCAGGAGTGCGGTGGGCCAGGGCGTTCATCAGCGTCGACTTGCCTGCTCCGCTGCCCACCAGGGAGGGAGAGAGAGAGAGAGGTGTCACTTGAATCCCTCCAAGGTACAGCTGTGTGGGAGCTGAAGCTTCAGTTACCCCCCCCCATAAAGCTCCATAAAGCTCTCTTAGTAATGTTAAATTAACGGTTATACAAATGAGAACATTTAGCAGGGGTGGGGGGGGGGGTGGAGGATGGCTAATTCTCTAAATCAATTTCCTCCACTCTTTTAGTAACCCTAACTTAACGGATCCTAACCTAACCGAACTTTACCCAACGTAACCTAGTCTAACTCAACCTCATCCCAACCTAATTTATCCTATCCTAATCTAACCAACATATAATATAAAATGTGTGTTATATATATGTATAAGGTATGCAACAGATGTGTGAGGTCATTATAGCGTCACAATGTTCTCCCGGCTCAGTAGACTAGTGGGCGGCGTGGGAAGCTTACACTCGCCGCCACACACTACTGCCTCCACTCTCTCTCGTTTTTGGATGAAATATTTCAACATTTCTTGAAATGTGTAAAATGAGCTATCTGGAAATATTCGGGTTTGTTGACATTACCATTAAATAGAGATGCGGGGGTGGGAGGGGGGGGGGGGTGTCTACTGGCTGTTGATGGTTCTGGGGATCAATGTCCCCACGACCCGGTCTCTGACCAGGCCTCGTGGTTGGTAGCTGGTCAACCAGGCTGCTTTGCACTTCCTGCCATGCCTCCTCCTCCTCTCATGAGTCCAACCACTTGGGCTGCACGGTACAGCGACGGTCTCGTTTCTTGCAGGTCGGCGTTCAATTCCCGACCGTCCAAGTGGTTGGGCATCATTCCTTCCCCCCCCCCCCCGTCCCATCCTAAATCCTTATCCTGACCCCTTCCAAGTACTACAAAGTCTTGTTGTTGTTGTTGTTAAAGATTCGCTACCTGGAACAAAAAGTTCCAAGTAACACGGGCTATGGTGAGCCCGTAGTGCCTGACTACATAGTCGTAATGGCGCTTTCTCCCTGATTTACGGGCTATTCATGCCCGTGCCTCCTCTTGGGGGTAGCTTAATCATTACCAATCAATCTTCCCCGTGATAGCTAGTTCCCTTCCCTTCATACGGAGTTATTTCCGCGTGCAGATGTGGAATCAGCTTTTCATAGTTTACACACATGGGTTAGGATCCCATCAATGGGGTAATGCAGCCTCCCAGAGATATCTATAATCGAATCTAAGCCGAACAAAAGTGTGACCCAGGTGTGTGCTGCCCGAAACGCTTTGCGTAATAGTGGCTTTAGGCATTGTATGTACTAGCTCTATCTATAAAGTCATCAATATCTGTATCACCCCGTATTGTATGCAGGCGATGAGTCACAATAACGTGGCTGAAGTATGTTGACCAGACCACACACTAGAATGTGAAGGGACGACGACGTTTCGGTCCGTCCTGGACCATTCTCAAGTCGATTGTCATTCTCAAGTCTCACAATCGACTTGAGAATGGTCCAGGACAGACCGAAACGTCGTCGTCCCTTCAACTTCTAGTGTGTGGTCTGGTCAACACCCCTTGTATGTATGTACTTTACCTAAATAAACATTTGAATTTTTTTAATTTGAATTTGATACGCCTGCATGATCCATAGATATGTGGCTCTTCTTGCATGTTAGTATGAGGTGAGACATGGAATAATGACTAGTGTAGAATTCCCTTGGCTTCCGGGTCAATAAGGTTTTGTTCTAGTTCTTTGAGTAATATTGTTCTCAGGTTGGTTATAGGCGCTCCAAGACGGTAGTCAACTCCCTTCAAGGAAGAGTCTTTGTCTGTATGCAGGCGATGAGTCACAATAACGTGGCTAAAGTATGATGACCAGACCACACACTAGAATGTGAAGGGACGACGACGTTTCGGTCCGTCCTAGACCATCCTCAAGTCGAAACGTCGTCGTCCCATCACATTCTAGTGTGTGGTCTGGTCATCGTCTTTGTCTGGTTGTTGGGCTCGGTCATGCATTCGGAGGCCAACATGAGATGGAATTAATTTGAAATGAACTGTTATCATAATTAATAATTGTATATGTGTCTAATTTCAGATATAAGCGATTGGTAGAACTTATATTTCATGTCCGAGGATTGGTAGATCTTGCATTAAATCTCTCTTAAGATTGGTAGATCCTGCATTAGATCTCTCCCAAGATTGGTTGATGTTGCATCAAATCTCTCCCGAGATTGGTAGATCTTGCATTAAACCTCTCTCAAGATTGGTAGATCTTGCATTAAATCTCTCTCAAGATTGGTAGATTTTGACCAAACTTGGGCAGAGTCGAATATTCCCGCTTCAGTTCTCAGTATCAAATGTGGGATAAAATTGTGTAGACTCGGGTGAACTGTTCGTTAAGGATCAAAGCTTCAACTGTGAATTTAAGGTCAAGACTTGGGAGTGAATTTGATAACATTAGGACCTTACCTGGAGCCAATTAGGGCCTTACCTGGAGCCAATTAGGGCCTTACCTGGAGCCCATTAGGGCCTTACCTGGAGCCCATTAGGGCCTTACCTGGAGCCCATTAGGGCCTTACCTGGAGCCCATTAGGGCCTTACCTGGAGCCCATTAGGGCCTTACCTGGAGCCCATTAGGACCTTACCTGGAGCCCATTAGGACCTTACCTGGAGCCCATTAGGGCCTTACCTGGAGCCCATTAGGGCCTTACCTGGAGCCCATTAGGACCTTACCTGGAGCCCATTAGGGCCTTACCTGGAGCCCATTAGGACCTTACCTGGAGCCCATTAGGGCCTTACCTGGAGCCCATTAGGGCCTTACCTGGAGCCCATTAGGGCCTTACCTGGAGCCCATTAGGGCCTTACCTGGAGCCAATTAGGGCCTTACCTGGAGCCCATTAGGGCCTTACCTGGAGCCCATTAGGGCCTTACCTGGAGCCCATTAGGACCTTACCTGGAGCCCATTAGGGCCTTACCTGGAGCCCATTAGGGCCTTACCTGGAGCCCATTAGGGCCTTACCTGGAGCCCATTAGGGCTACTAGGCTCCCAGGACGGACGGCGCCGGACACTGCCAGTATGAAAATAAATAAAAATACATTAATTTGTTTTTCAGACTCGTGTTAAGAGGTGTCGGCTTTATTATCATTACTTTCATCTCTGTACCACCACCATCATCACCATCACTTTCATCACT